TCAAATGAAATTCTCAAGAACACTTTAAAATTTCTATTTTCTCAATCGGATGTCCGAATCACGTCACCAATTCCGTTTTTATCAAATTTCTCAGACAAGTCATAAATGTGATATTGGACCTATATCGGGTTCCGAAACCAAAATACGGACCCGACATCCAAATTGGTCAAACACTTCCATTTCAATAAGCCTTTAACTTCCAAATTTCAACAAAGTCCGATATCTCGGGGTAGGGACTTCCGATTTAGATTCCAGGCATACGCCCAAGTCCCAAATCACGATACGAACCCACCAGAACCTCCAAATCACAAATCCGGGTCCGTTACCAAAAATATTGATCGAAGTCAACTCAAAGGAAGTTTTAGGCAAACTTTCTTATTTTCATCAACTTTTAACATAAAAGCTTTTCGGAAATATGCCCGGACTGCGCACGCAAATCGAGAAGGGTAAAAATGAGACTTTAAGGCTTAAAAGCACATAATTGAGTTCTAAAACACAATATGACCTTTCGGATCATCACAAACAACAAATGATTTAAATAAAAGGAAATTGGGAGATTTTTGATTAACTAACAAATCAAGGGGTAATTTTTAAAAGCTTGCTGATGGTAGGAGTAAATTTGGTCGGATAGTATAATGGTAGGAATAAATTTGGCCGAATAGTATAACAGAGGTTAAATATAGACAATATCCGAAAGTAGAGGGATATATTTGGCCCTTTTCCCTTTTCTAAATTAAAAAAAATCAGTTTCCATAGCAAAAATTAGGGCCCATTTGACCATAAAAAAAATTTAAATTTCTTTTTATTTTTTTCGAAATCAGTGTTTGGTCAAGAAATTTTTATTTTTACGTAAAGATAAATTTCAAAATTTTTCGAAAATTTGAAAAAGTCCAAAAAACTATTTTCCAAAATTTTCACTTAAGATTACTCGCAAAAATTCAAAAGGCCCAAAATTATATTTTTGTCCAAACATAACTCTAATTTTTAAATACCATTTTCACTTAAAAAAAGTTTTACTTTTTTCCGAAATTTTACAATTCTCAAGTCCAAACACCCACTTAAACAGGAGTAACACCTCCACAACTAAGTTGTCATTTTAATTTTCTTTATAAGTAATTATATTGCTCAAAGTCTTACCAAAATATTGTTTCGGTTTTTTCTTTCCAAGAGTTCTTGTTCTTATTTTATAGACATAATTCCATGATTAAAAAAGGATTTTTTTTTAAAAAAATTTTACTTGATCATCCCAATTACAACAACATTAATTCCATACGTGGGGTCTGGTAGGGTAGTGTGTACGCAGCCTTACTCCTACCCTATAAAGGCAGAGAGCCTGTTTCCGATAGACCCTCGGCTTAAGTAACGGTAAAAATAAAGCAACAAGCAATAACAACAGTAATATAATCAGTAATGGAAGCGAGTGATATAACAAGTATTAAAGAACTAAGAATAAAAGAATACAAGAATAGTACTAGTACTTTTGGTAAACCTAGGAGAAACTCACAACTACATGTCAACCCACCACCTTAATTCTCGACCTCCACACCTTCCTATTGCTAGTCATGTCCTCGGTTAGGTGAAGCAATGACATGTTCTGCCTAATCACCTCTCCCCAATACTTCTTTGGCCTACCCCTGCCCTTCATCAAGCCCGCCATGATAAACCTCTCACATTTCCTGATCAGGGCATCTATGTCTCTCCTCTTCACATGCTCAAACCATCGCAACCTCGATTCCCGCAACTTGCCTTCCACAGATGACAGTTCCACCTTGTCCCTAATAACTTCATTCATAATCTTGTCTTTCCTGGTATGCCCATACATCCATCTCAATATCCTTATTTCAGCTACCTTCATCTTTTGGACATGAGACTTCTTGACGGGCCAACACTCAGCTCCATACAACATAGCCGGTCTAACCACTCCCTGTAGAATTTTTCCTTAAGTGTAGGCAGCATATTTCTTTCGCATAGAACCCCCGAAGCTAGCCTCCTTCTCATCCACCCCGCTCCAATGCGGTAAGTAACATCCTCGTCAATCTCTCTGTTGCCTTGGATTATAGACTCAGGGTACTTGAAACTATCTCTTTTGGGAATAAATTGTGTATAAATCTTCACTTCCACTTCTTCTTCATGTCTCCCATCATTGAACTTGCACTCCATTTATTCAGTTTTCGACCTACTCAACTTGAAACCTTCGCACTCCACCGTTTATCTCCAAACTTCCAACCTAGCGTTAACACCCATTCGCGTCTCGTCAATCAGTACTATGTCATCAACAAAAAAACATACACCATGGCACCCGCCCTTAAGTCTTCAGGTTTGTGTAGGTAGAGCTCTATGAAGCATCGCATTCGTGAGGGAGCCTTTGCGTGCGCGTAAGAGGATTTTTGGGCGGTTGAGTTTTGTGCTTCACGAATGCAAGGCACTTTCCGTGTTCGAGAAGAAAGGCATCTGGGCTGCAGATATTAATTTTATAATCGAGGGTTTGAACCTATTTTTTCATATTTTGAGTTAAAGACCTTAGATTTGGGCTATTCTTGAAGGGATTTTCAAGAAGTTTATTGGGGTAAGTGATTTTAACTCGGTTTTGGTTGTTATACATGAATCTATCATTAATTTACTATTTAATTAGTGTTTTGGGTTGGAAATTGAAAAAATCTTGTGAAACTTCATAGACTTTAGTTTGAGTATTTGAAGGTCGAGTGGAGGTCGGAATTAAAAAATCTTGCTATGGTTGGACTCGTGGTTGAATGGGTGTTCAGATTTTGTTAATTTTGTTAGATTCTGAGACATGGGGCCAGGGTTGACTTTTTGACTTTTGTTAAAGAATTTAGCGTATTCATATGGAATTGATTCATATAGCTCATGTTGATTGTATTGAGTTGTTTGTTGCTAGATTCGAATCGTTCGGAGGCGAGGCAAAGGCTTGTTGAAGTAGAGATTTGCCCGATTTGAGGTAAGTAACACTTTTAAACTTGATCCTGAGGGTATGAATCCCTGAATTATGTATTATGTGGTTGGTATTGAGGTGACACACGTTCTAGGTGATAGGCGTGTGGGTGTGCACCGTAGAAATTGTGACTCAACCGATTTTGTGGAACTGTGTAGTCATCTAATCCGAGTATTATTCGTGTACTCTTCATGTGTTAGAGGAATTGAGCTGTGATTCATATAAGAAATCATGCTTAGGCTAGATGATGGTACTATTGGGACCCACAGAGGTCGTGTTGCTATTGAATCACTTGCTTAATTTGCAATTACATACTCAGTCACATCTATGACTTGCATATTATATCTCAGTCTCTGTTGCCCTTTATTTGATACATAATATTATCATTGTTTGGGGTAATTTTCATGAGATTTGTGAGCCCGAGAGACTGGAGAGATTGATGACTGAGTGAGGTCGAGTGCTTGATTGTGAGTGATGTTTATGGGATCGGACTGCACGCCGCATCAGACTTTATTGTTTCATGCCATGATTGGCTTATTTTAGTGCTTGGGCAGGATTTTCCCCTCCGGAGTCTGACATACCAGCAGGGAGAGTAGGTACCTACTGAGTGTGAGTGTCGAGTGCCGAGTGATAGGAAGTACTGAGTGACTGGGAGGATAGAGTGACTTGGAGGACTGAGTGATTGAGCATGCTGAGTAAAATTTATACTTCGAGAGTATGCATATGACTTTATCACTGTGTTGCATTACAGTTGGCATGAATAATTGACATGTAGATATAGTAATGTATCATTCCTCATATCAATCACACTTGGCATATTTTATTCGTGTTGTACTTAAGCTGTTAAACTTGAAAGAATGTCTATATTTTTGTACTATTAAAAATCTGTATTTGGACTGTACCTGTTGAGCTCGTCACTGCTTTCAGCCCAAGGTTAGTCTTGTTACTTATTGAGTACATTGGGTCTGTTGTACTCATACTACACTCTGCACTTCGTGTACAGATCCAGGTACTTCTGGACATGGCAGGTGCTAGATTGGGACATCAGTTGCTTGGAGACTATCGAGGTAGCTGCCTTGGCGTCCGCAGACCTTGACTCTCCTTCTTTCCAGTTTATTTGTACTGTCCTATCTTTCTAGAAAGCGTTTTCGCAGTCAGACTATGTTGCCTTTTAGTTGCTCATGTACTTAGTGACACCTGAATTTTGTGGAATTTTGTATTGAGTCGCGGTATTTTCTTATCAGTTGATTGTGAGATTTTTACTATTTAAGCTTATTTCAGCATGTTTAAATTAAAGATGTGTGGTTATTTGTGAGTTGTCGGCTTGCCTAGTATTGGGGATTTTACTATTTGGAGATTTTATTTTTAATTTGTACGAAAATATTTTACTATTTGGGGAGTCAAATAAGATTTTCTTTGACTATATATTTTGTGAATATTTTTTAAATATTTTAAATTATTAAGTATTTTGACTTAAGTATTCTTTATGTGGTTCTTAAATATGCGAAATTTTATTTTAAAAAAATTTAAAAATTCTACTTCCAAAACTACACAAAAAGTTAGTCAATTTAATTCTTATATTCTGAAAAGTTTTGCATAAATTAAAACAGATGGAATATTTATTTACGTTCTCTTGCCTGTTTGGACTATAGTTTTAGGGTGAAATCTCATTATGAAAAAATGAAATGTTTGGATGGAACTTCACTAGACGGCCAATAGAAGTAACATCATTACATTACCGAAAAAAAAAAAAGTAACATCATTAAGATAAAACGTGGATGACTTGACTCCATATATGTCCTATTAACAAGAATAAAAAATTAGGAGTTGGTTGTCCTTTTTCACCGAAATGGATAATGATTTTGGTCCTCATTAAGTACGTACCATATTGACAATTTTCGATAATAGATATTTTTCGTTGACACCTTTAGGATAGGTAAAGTCAGAATTTGAACTTTGTCGATTCTAAATCTTAAAATAGTAATATGAGATGTAGCAATTGGATTCTAAATGTAATTTGTGTATATTATTTAATGAACTTTTTATTACAAAATATAATGTAACAACACTATTAATTAAAATACATTATCATTCATCTCTATTTCTAAGTACATTTTAACATTTGTATAAAGTGTCTAGCTTCGTTCTGCAGACGTAATTACAACTTTCAGCTTGTTAAGTATGCAGTATGATATTATACAAATATATATTTTATGCATTTTTATTCTTATTTATAAACAACTTCTAGGTGCTTCTGAACCAGAAACTCTTCCTCCAACATTAACACATGAAGCTTCAGCTGTACGATCTTTGTAACTTAGATTCACATTTTCAAGTGTTATTCCACTACATGGATTCACTTTGCTACAATCAAATTTCACTCCAACTTCTGTAGCCGATGTTCCATGTATGTCTTGATACGTTACATCACTTATCTTCACGCCTGATCCCTAAAAAAAACGAGTAATATTAGATTAAGGGAGCATGATCAATCTTATCAATAATCTTATCGTAATTGTATGCTAAATTTAAATGTTTAATTATTATTACCTGATGAGGACAACTTTCATGATTAGGGCAGTAATTTTGGTCTATGATAATAGGATTTTGAACATCAGTCATAACTATATGTTGAAATAGAACACCTTTAACAAATCCATTGCTAGGCCTTGCCCAAGTTTTCACTATCACACCATTCTCTGTTCCAGTGAAGGTAACACTCTTTATTGTCACATTTTGGACTCCTGGCTCTTGTAATTTCCAACCTAAGCTTCCAATGCTGCACCAATTTCAATTAATTTGGATATAAGCCAATCAAAAATCATTTATCATTAAACTTACTAATTAATTAAATAGGCATTTGATATTATGTTCCAAACCTGATTCCATGACCAGGGCCACAAGCAATGCCTTCCATCCATAAGTTAGAATTTCCAGGGCCAATTGAGATACAATCATCTCCAGTACCAATATGAGAGTTCATAATGCTAACTCCTGTCGATAATTGCACGTGAATTCCGTCGGTGTTAGGGCTGTTTCCTGGAGCTGAGACCTTTACTCCTTGTAGTTTCACGTTTTTGCATCCATCTATCAAAATGTGAAACATTTGGCTATTTTGTGCTATTACTCCATTGATTATGATGTTGTTTGAGTTGTAAAAGGCCAATGCCTGCACCAAAATTTTAATGTAAAATTGAGACAAAGATGATTGTTTGATGAAACAAACCATCAAACTCTCTAGTAAATTGCAAATTTCTAGGGGTTTTCCTCTCTTTTAGAGCAATATTCTTAATAGCTTGAACTGGAATAAAGTACTCCCTCCGATTCAATTTTTTTATAAACCGGACATAAAAAATAAAAATAACAAATTTTGAAACTAAATAAAAGTACTATAAGTCACAATAATTAATAATTTTAAATTTATTTGAAAAAATCACTTGAGACAATAATCGTAAAAAGAACTTTTTTGACTCGACAGATAGTAATAAAGTCAGATAAAATGAAACAACAAAGGAGTATAACAAAACATACCGTGGTGCCTTCGGGACAATTCTTGCCGGAGTTTTTGCAAGCCCAAAGGCCATCACCTTGACCATCAAAGGTTCCACCATAGATGGAAACTCCGTTAACTTTTTCGAATTTGATCCAATTTCCAGCATTTCCAATTACATTATAATCAGAGGGAGCTAAGAGAGTGCCATCAATACGTATAGTAATAGCCTTGCTCTTGCATGTTTGGCCATAGAAGTATGCAGTGCGAAGCAAGTAACTTCCACGTGGCACGTAAATAGTGGCTGCGCTAGTAGATGCACAGGCTGCAGCCCATGCACTTAGAAATGCTTTTGATGAATCAGTTTTTCCATTGGATTTTGCTCCAAAGTTTTTGACATTGTACATAGTATTTGCTGCTGATGATAAGTGGAAAAGGAAGAAAAAGAGAAGTGAGAAAATTGCTAAAGGACTCATTTTGTTTAGCATTTTTTGTTTTCTAGGTGTGGGCTTGGAAAAGTGATGAAGTTTGAGTAGTTTAGAGGGATATGTATAGGCTTTGGGTAAGTTGAGAGTCAATATGAGTTAGGTTATTTAGGGGGGGGGGGGGTTAGGGGGGTTTAGTTGGTAGTTACTTTTCCCTTACCTTTTAGTTT